TTTTTCTTATTTACTTAAAATTGATGCACGCCGTGGTCACAATCTTACTTGAAGTTAAAGATGATGGCATGCGTTTGTCTTAAAAATATATTCATTCTAGCCAGAAATTACATACAGTTTTCGGAAAACAGATACCGTATAGTGTATTCCATTCCATGTCCTTACGTGTTAGGAAGGAGGAAGACCGGACCTTCCTTAAGGCCTAGCAAACTACAATGGCAAAAGCGCTGAACGCCCAGTGTACGGTCAACAGCACATCAAGCGATACGAATATCGCCTTCAGTTCTCGAGACACTAAAATGAAAACGTTGTTGTTAAAAATAAGCCAACAATGTTCGGCAGTGAACTAGAAAAATACTTCTCGTATAAAGAAAGATAAAATGTAGAGTTTACTTATTAATCTTATCGCTTTATGTGTGGTCACCACCCGCTTTAATTTGTCTTTTAGTACCCTTACCTATACCAGAAATGATATGCAATAAATCTCACTAAGTATGTACCTATACTTATCTGATATGGTAAATGACAACGGAGGTACAATTTAATGATATAAAAATATAATAATAAAAAAAAATATATATAAGCGAGATACATCACAGAGCACCGACGTAAGTTACTGCGCAATATTACTAAGTTTTACGTAAGGATTACATTCTTGGAGAACATCACAAGTTCATTTCAATCAGAAAAATGTGAAAAGATAATTAGCACGTTTTTATGAAAGAAGGGGACCGGCCGGCCTCGGTGGGCGCGGATAGTGCTACCATTGTACTTTTTTATGTTTGTGGTGCCATATTTTTTTTTATGATATCAATGTCGAATAGGTTGACTAGTCCCATGTGCCTATAATTTCACCGCATCCTTAGTTAGGTACTTTTCAATTCCTGTAATGGAAAAGTAATGCTCACATTCCCAGAACTTCCCTGAATAAACTCTTACACGAGACGCTCTACTGCTACTTACAAATTGTCTGCTTAAAGGTAAAATCACATAAGTGACATTTTCCACAAAAAATCTCCAAATTATGTACCAGTTGTAAGAAAATCACCATCTTTCTGCAGCCATAGCTATATAAATTAAAGAATTTTTGTTTAAAATGTCACTTATGTGGTTTTATCTTTAAACAGACGAATTATTTTAATACTGAGCGATACTAAAAGAAAAAACACGTAATTTATTTCATCCCTAAAGACGTAATATGAACATTTGGTTGGAGTCGAGTTCGACACTCTCTAACTCTTGGGTTTTCGCGCTTGTTATACATAGGAAATGAAACTATGTTTCGGATATAAATTGCGTATTTATTTGTTTTTTCAAACAATCCAACGTTTCGGGCCATTTACATTCATCGTCACGGCTCTTTCGTTGTCGCGGCACTTTTTGAGAAAAGTCAATGCATGTGGCGCGCGGACGCTTGTTCAGGTCTTCAGACCGTCGGATTTTATTTGCAACGTTCAGTATGTACTGGCGTATTTTTACGTTTTCGCGATTGATGTACTTAGGAAATGAAACTATTTTATTTTTATTTATATTCGTATCTAAATCGAGTATATTTGTTTTTTCAAACAAAACGACTCACCATGTTTCATAGTTTCATTTCCTATTAGGATGGGAAAGTCACCTGTGTACATCTCTACCCAATTCGTCGAGTTGTAGATAACACTTAATGTGTAAAAGAGATTTTATTTTAATTGAGAACTCTTTATCATTTATCTTTATTTTTAAAGAGCACAATTTTACAAGGCCATGCTGCTGTATAAATAAGGTTTACGATAATAATGTTGTTACCTCTCAGTTGAAACGTGAGCACGGATGGGCGTGACAGCACTCGCTTGCAACCATTCCCTTGGTTAGTTTTATATTTCGTAGTTTGAAGTTTAGAATAATTAATTTGTAATAAAACATTTTGATTTAAATTTTTTAAAGATTGTGTTGATTAAAAAAAGCAAATTATTTTTTTTTGCGTCACAATGTTTTTCAATCAAATCTACTTTGCTTAATGAGCAATACAGTATAATAAAAATTATTATTAACGGAGTAGCTAGCTCTCGCTGTAAAAATTACCGAAGACACACGTGAGCAAAAATGATAACTAAAATACAAACAGAAAGAACAGGAACATAAAATAATCAAAATCAATACAACACATAAGCATAGTATAATAAAACAAGTAGTGTAACTCCCGTCTCTTTGGCGCATCAATGCCCACATGTCTCTCGCAGCGTAGGGTTGTCGCATTATTATTTTAGTTGTACTTACAGGTTTTCATCTTTGAATTCTCGTGCTATATTGAAATATTTTCAAATGAAGTACTCGCATATTGATATTTTTATACAAGTATCTGATTAGTATGTTGATTATGGGAGTATGATATTGAAATAGTACATTTATAAATAAAAAAGATATAAATTTGACACAAAAAAATATTTTAAATACCGAAACCGACAGTGTATCCGACCACGATGCGTGGTGGCTGTGCACACATACAAGCCGTGCTGTTAATTTGTCATTAATTGTCTTAATATACTATGACATAAGGCACAAATTTATAAGAAACCTTGCATCCAGCTAGTCCGGGATTGATTATCAAATAGCCATTGTAAGTATTTTCGTCTGAATATCGATAATTGAGACATTGCCTTTCTTAGAGGGGGAACAAGTATGTTTTAACCGACTTCTAAAAACGGAGGTAGTTCCCAATTCGACAGATTTTTTTTATACGTATGATACACGATAGCTCGGCACTTGTGAATCGATTTTGATGATTTTTTTTCGTTGGAAAGAGGGTACCTGACTATTGGTTCCATTAAAATTTGAAGAAAATATTCCACTTGTAAGGGTGGCAAATTAGGGGATGGGTTTCGCGCTCTTTCGGGTAACCGATTTCAATAAAACTTGGCAAATAGATGTAACTCCACGAACTTTTGAGGTCGGTTTTTTTAGTACGTACTGATGTATTATGAATGATGCATACTTGGAGCAACCCTAGGGTGAATAAACCAGACAACCCCAAGAGACCCCTATCACGCAGTCTCTCGGAATACGTTTGTTTTATTACACGCTTATTTTGTAGGTACGAGGGGTGGCTGGCCTAAGCTGGGCTTAGGTAATTAATGAAAAGTAAGATTTTATATATAGTTTTTATTTTTTCGCCGTTGCTGTACAATCCAAGTGAAACAATTTTTGATATTTTGTTACCGATAATTTTTAATATTCCAATTTACGCTACAAACGACTAATTATTTAAAGATTAGATATAGAAGTTAAATTTATTAAGTAAAAAGGAAATTAGAAATAAAATAAAAATATTTTCAATATAATCTTGCAATTTTAAAACATCTGAAAAAAAATGGCTACCGACTGCCGCCTTTATTTCACAGTCATCGGAAAACTTCGTACTAGTAATTCTTTTTACAAAAACACTCATCGTCGTTACGTGCCGACCGGTATGAGCATACGCAGTACCTAACTGTTAAAATGTTCATGTACATTTTCAATGCGTTCTTTGCTATTCCGTAGCTCTTCTATTATATGTTCCATTTTTGCAACTTTCAGTCGGCCAGTATTGATTTCTCAACTTTTTCGGACAATTTCTTCAGTCACTATACTGGTGGTCCACGGAGGTCATTCTCGCAGATTTTTTAGGTTTTTGCCACTATACATAAAGGCTAAGAATTCAGTTGAACCGATCTTGAATAAAAAATTTTTAGCTTATTTTTTTATAAAGGTATGTGGCAGTGCCCTTAAGATCTTTGCGATTTAAAGTTCTGTATGGCACTGCAACTGTTGTGGATAGGCTTGTCACTTACCACCAGACGCGTGATGGTGAGATGGACGTCAAGTGCGCATTTATCTATAAAACGGAAAAAGTAAGGGTGTCTGAGCATTGAAATTAAATATTAAAAATACTTTTTACCTCAGACTTGGTTTGGATACTCTAAATACAACTTTTTTTTATATATCTAGTGACGGAACGAAAAAGTCCTGCGCGTGATGGTAAGCAACACGCCTGTCCATAACAGTTGCAGTGCCATTCAGAGCTTTAAATCGCAAAGATCTTGAGGGGCACTACCATTGCGCCCGTCATCTTGAGACATAAGTTGACAAGTCCCATGTGCCTGTAATTTCACCAGCACCCTTGCCCTTCAAATACAATACGCAATAATGGTTACATATGGCTTAGGTTGTGCGACAGCGTTGAAGCAATCACTTTGGAAAAAATATACTGTAAAATTAAGGATATACACTCATTGACTTACAAATAAATGAACGACGACGGATCTAATACAAAAACCACGAAAAAAATGTCCCAAGTCAACCTATTTAAACGTAGTGACATGTCAAGGAATATGAAAAGGCTAAAACGTTGAATTTAATTGTAATGTCATCGCAGTACTGTCTAATTTTGCTTGCTTCGCTGTCAGTCGAACAAACGAAGACTACAGCGTGAATGACGCTCTGTATACGATTTTAACGCCCTATAAGTTCGGACACTTTTTAGCGCGGACCCGACGTCCATATAATTGTAAGTCAATGGTCGTAGCCATTGAAATAGCAAAGTAATATATAACAAAGTAATAGTAACGTTAAATCCCTGTCCTGTGCAATTTGGTTTGATGCAGATACGCGCGTTTTACCATTACTACGCACGCGGATTTTGCACTATCCCCAATGATTTTAAAAAAATAAATAAAAAATAAACAGAACACGTATACTATACGATATACATTTTTCCAAATGGCTTTAAGCAAAGTGAACCGTATTGGTACGTGAAAAAATTCCCTTAATGATGCACGTATAAGGAAATCATACCAAAATGCATTTTGAGGCTCACAGGTTAAAGGTTAAGTTCGTTAAACACTTTTCTTTGCACTGATTTACTCAAAACCAAATAGACTGTTAGCGGTCAGGTGTCTTAGGGTACCGACTGTATCTAACATAGACACGGCGCGTACCTTATACATACTTCTTAAAATGTTTCTTTTTAAAATATTTCTCAGGAATGGCCGGCTACGATCCGACGGAGAAGTATCCGAACATCGCAAAATGGCTGCCCATGGTACGGGAATACTTCAACCCGCATTATCAAGAGGCGCACGTTATTCTCAACAAGGTTGTTGCTAAGCAACAGAAGCAGACTGCCAAGCTCTAAAGCTTAATATGAAAAAAGTTACTACGAAAATCGATTCTTTGTCAATACGTTTGTAACTAACGCTCGTTACAGTCGTTTTCGTTAGATACTATTGTATTTAACGGGTGATGGTATCACATCTACTTTTATTTTAAGAGATTATATTTTCCTACTGTTGTATAAATGTACGTACTCGTTGTTAATTGTAAATATCATTGATTTTCTATTTTGTATATTGGGTTTTAAACAGTTTTCGTAAATGACGCTCATACGAGCTTATGTTGAAAGAATAATTTTGTTCAAATAAACGATTTTGTTTAAATAATGTTGTTTGTTTTCATTTTTCTTTGGTGAACCGTTAAGTGTGATAAGATTGCGATTGTTTTGTTGTAGAATGTTAAGATAATTAAGCGTTTTTAATTTTCTATCCATTTGCGTCACAGTTTATTTGAGATCAAGTAATTTTATTTGAATAACCGAACATATTTAATTAATAATTTATACAAGATAAATATTTTATACCAATTATAATAATAATAACGCACACACTCAACATAGCTCCGCACTAGGGAAACCCTGCGTCGCAGGTGCCATGGACACACACATAGACAACCACAAATTACACCCAAACTCACGAGAGAAATAAATGTAGGCCATACACATATTTCTCCCGGCCTGGGATTCGAACCAGGACCTCTGCATGGCAACCCGGCATGGTAACCGTTCGGCCACGGAGTCAGTCAAAATTAATTTATATCATAGCATAATAAGAGCAAGTAGGGTAAGTCCCGCCTGTTCGTTGAAAAATGCCTGCACCTCCCTAGAGCTAGGAGCGTTTTGGGTTGTTACGTTAACATTTTAGTTGTACCTACAGGTTGTATTGATATTCTCAAACCAACACCGCAGAGCGTTACCTTGATTATGGAGTATGATAACGAAATAGAAATAAAATGTTGAACAATTTTGAATTTGAGGCTCTCTTGTTCAAACAACAATAAACACGTCTACTATTTTGATTGTAATTTTTTGAACATCGATCTGAGAGACCGCTTCAATTCTATAACGAATGGCGCGTAAGACACTCGCGCTATGTAATGCAACGCGAGTGCACCGCGAGATTATGCAATGTGTGCACGTCCATACACGGAGCGCGATGGGCGTGCACACATACCTATACTGATACGTTTGCATGGAGTTATCCTACTTGTTTTATTATACTATATGTTTACACCTTGCCCCCTTAATTGGTCCCTATCTACCGACCCGGTATTCTGGAGAGATTACGAGTTCGACGACAACTCGAGTACAGTGGACCTCCGTGCCAAACCCTCCGCCAGTGATACGTCTACACGGGCGTCTTTGGTGGACACGGACTCGGGTATGGACTCGCTGGAGTATGTGGTGACCTGCAGAGACGAACATGTTTGTCTGCCCCGGTAGCTTATGGCCGTGGCGTCGGTCTCATGCGCAGCTATAACGCTTCTAGTTGAAGGCCTGAAGCGAGGAGACGCACAGGGCACGTGAGTTGCCCTTTAAGTTGGAAGCTATTTCCGGACATTGTCACAGGACACTGCGCCTGGCAGCTCCGGCACTAGTCCGGAGAGCTAGTAGGCTAATATAAGCTAGATATCCTCCGGTCCCTCCAGCCGCTTAGATTATTGGGAACTGGAGAGACGTCATTGGGAAGTGAGCGTGCTTTACTGCTCTGCCACTAATGAGGAGATTTAGTAGTGGACTTAAGAGTCGACGGCTTAGCGATGGCAACTGCTAGTTATGCAATGCGCAACGGGAAGTGAGCGTGCCTGCAGCTCCGGTACCTTACTGGAAAATAGGGAAGGTAACAGTACGTACAGACGTGCACTCGGGGCGGCTCACCCGAGGCACTATAGCCTCTCGAGAACTGCATGAAGTCAAGTGACAAAGGTCTGTGACAACCCTCTGGGGTCAGAACCTGAACTTATAAGGTTCCTGTGAGCGCACAGGTTATAGTGCCCTTCTCGTGTACCCTAAGGGTCGGTAGAGAAGGTCACTATAATCAAAACTAATGTAGAAAGACATGGGGCTGCCCTCCTAAATTGGTTTAAAAAAGCTATAATAGTCGAAGTGCAGCGAACGGAGCGAACGAAGAAAGCTTCCGGCACCTTCTCAACACAACACCGGACGGAATTACGCTGTCGTTCCTCAATCGATATGCATGAAATTTGAAACTAGAGTAAAAAAATAGAATTCTACAGGTCGTGGCGAAGTTGCAAATTTTGATTTTCGACCTGTGACCTGCTATAATTGGGGTTAAAAGTCACCATATTTAGTTGTAAGCTCAATTTACGCGTCGCAGAACTAAAAGAAAGTAAATTTTTGTAATTGTAAATAGCTTATTGAACTTGTGTCAAATTGCGTAACGTATAAACAAGATATGACATTGTAAATGTAAAGTAAAACATGGAGAGATTCTTGTTTTGTAAAGGCAACACAAATAAAAAACCAGCATGATGGTTTTTAGGGTTAAAAAAGGACGGGGAAGCCATGTTGTTTTTTCAGAGGAGCTTAAATTGCTGAGTTACAATGCACGATAGCGTCGAAACAAAAAGGAAAAATATAATTGTTACACTATTGCAAAGTGTCTTGAGGAGGAATAAATAAAGTACAAACTGATGTTTGTCAGCTTGGAGTTTCACTAGCATATGGAAACTGCGCGAGAATTCTTCGGACGACGCAATTTGTTTTTATTATACGTGTCTAGTTTCGTTACATAATTGACATAAGCTTAATTGAACTTTAGGGCCAAAAATTAAACTGTAATGTAAATAAGATCATTAACTGTAACATATTTCGTACGCAAATATACATAACCAAAAAAACGTTCTATGGAAAAAGAAAAATAAGTTAGACTGCTGCGCTTGGGTAGGGAATCGTCATTCCGCATGTATAAATTTGAATTTGGATGTTGTCTTTATTATTATTTATTTATAGAGCATTGGCTACAGAATCATCAGCTTAAAAGGTAACAAATACATAATTAAGAAACTCGAAACGTAACGTAGGTACTGAAACTAAAAATTAATTGGTGTAAAAAGTGCAATTACAAAAAATCGCCATTTTTTTTCTTTGCTTATTATTGTTCTAAGTATAGGTGATGATTGTGTGGTGATGATAAATGCGAATTGTCTGAAACGAACATAAGCGTTACTAAAACCTGGCTACCAACTAAAAAGTAGTAATATATACTTATTAATACAACACACTGTTAATGCAATGGTGTATTAACTCAAAAAGTGTTTTTTTTTCTTCAGAATCCATAAAAAACGAATTAGGCACTTCCCGTGAAAGATTATTACAATTTATGTATAAGTAAATGCTTATAACACACATCTAGACAATTTTCTACTAGCCAAATACACACATCAAAAGTGTCTAGGGATCAAGTGAATATTTTTGAAATAAAAATTATTTAAGCAATATTTACCAAATCCAGTCTTCCAGGACGACTTCTTACTTTAATGCTTATGTTTTATTTAACCGCTTACCCCTATATTTAATTAAAATAAACTAAAATTGATGTTTTTGCAAATTGTGGGAAAAAACTCAAATTAACGGCGTCAATTAAATGACAAAAAAATGGCGAAAATGATGATTTTGCTCAATTTTATTGTAAAGATAAGAAAATTAATAATCTGTATTTCCACCATTAACACGAATCACACAATTACAGCGATTTGGCATGCTTAAGATGAGTTCATCGAAATCACTTTGAGGAATGGCCGCCCATGTGTTTTGTAACAAGTCAAAATATTGTTGTAGAGTATGTACGGTATGCATACTCGGCACAGCTCTTCTTTGAAGCATATCCCATGCGTGCTCAATTGGATTGAGGTCTGGCGATTGAGCAGGCCACGGCAGAACGTTGATACGAGCTTCGGCAAGAATGCGTGTTACGACTCTAGCCGTGTGTGGACGTGTGTTGTCATGCATTAGTTGAAATGAATCACCCAACTGGCCTCGCAAAGGGATGATAACATCTAAAACAATCCTCTCTGCGTAAACTTGAGCATTGAGGTTACCCCTGATCCAAATGAGATCGGTTCTTCCGCCGATCCAAATACCGGCCCATATCATTATTGTTCCCCCACCATATGGATGAACTTCCTGACAATATCTCAAACGTTCATGACGTCCAGATGTTCTCCAAACTCGAGTACGTCTTGTATCCGGTCTCATACCGAAGCGGGATTCATCCGAAAAGCACACATAGCGCCAGTCTTCTTCCTCCCAGTTTCTGTGTTCGCGAGCCCATCGTAAACGGGTCCTGCGATTGCAGGGTGCAATAGGTGGAACTCTGAGCGGCCTTCGGGATCGCAGACCCACTTCACGTAAACGATTTCGGATTGTTTGATCGCTTATTAGCAAGCCTAAGGAGCTGTGGAGCCTCGTAACCAACATCATGGCGGTCATGGTACGATTCCGTCGAGCAGTATTTTGGATATACCGGTCCTGTCTGCGAGTCGTGATGCGAGATCGTCCTCCATGTCGCTCGGCCACGCTGCCCGTCATGCGATAGCGCGTCCAGAGGCGACTTATGACGCTCTGTGTAGTGTTAAGAGTGAAAGCCACAACACGTTGCCTGGAACCAGCTTCCTACATTCCGACGGCTCGCATCATCACTTCTCGGGTTAAATGATGTCGTCTCTCCATAATAATGTAAATTGTTTTGGTTCCGATGCAGATATTGTAATGATTTTGTCAAAACGCTATAACTCATTTTTATACAAAACCACATTGACAATCGATTTTCTTCTTATTATCGAATTTTAAACAATATTCCTTATTTAAATGTTAAAACTGACTAAAAAGTATCAATAGCGATACAAAAAAGTTAATATAATTAACCCTAATTGCAGCAATACCCTTAAACGTACTTGATCCCTAGACACTTTTGATGTGTGTATATTAAAAAAATAAAAAGGAAACGATAATTTCATATAGGAAAGGAAACTATTTTTTCGGTTTGTAACAATCGCGAAAACCTAAGAACTCGATAAATAATTTCATATTTTTGAGTAAGGATTCTTTAGGTTTTGTACAGAATTATCTCACTGAAAGTTTGTCTCATTTTGAGTTGAGTAGATTTATCTTTTTTGTGATAATGTTAAAAAAAATCACAATATTGTAAAGACGGTTTTATTGAAGTTTAGAGATTCTTACTTTACATTCAGCAATAGTATAATCTTGATTTTCACACATTTTGAGTTACAACAATATTACAATAGCCGTGCAATAT